CGTGCCATCGGAAGGCAACCGCCAGGCACCGAGGCTGCCATCCGTGGGAGGCAGGGTCCCAAGGGCTGACTCTGGAAGCGCCCCCTGCGACAGGAAGCCCTCCCCCCGGGAAGCGGCAGGGCCCTTGCCTAGCAGATGTGTGGCTATTGACTGCGAGATGGTGGGCACGGGACCCTGCGGGCGGGTGAGCGAAGCTGGCCCCGCTGCTCCGTGGTGAGTTACCATGGCGACGTCCCTCTACGACAAGTACATCCGGCCTGAGATGCCCATCGTGGACTACCGCACTCGCTGGAGCGGCATCACCCGGCAGCACATGCGCAAGGCCATCCCCTTCCAGGTGGCCCAGAAAGAGGTGAGGCGGGTGGGGGCTGTGGGTCAGTGATGGGGTGGGAAGGGCGGCCCTGGGGCTGAGTCACCACTTGGAATCCCCAGACGTGCGTAAGCGTAAGAAACACCTCAAGCCTTGCTGATCTCGGCTCCTAGTCCCAGATCGCTCTGGGATTCCGATTCCTTAGGTCTCTAGGCCTGCGGTGTGTGGGCCTAAAGCTCATCATGCTGTGGAAACGGGCACACTAAAACCTCCGAGCTTATGGGGAAAATGGGGTTAGGGACACAACACTCAAAACATGTCACAGCGACACGGCAAAAACAAAAAGGCCTGGCCTCCACACCCGGACACGGTACCCCAGTTTGGCCATGTTAGATGGTTAAGAAATGCATACACACACCCAGTAACAACACGCACCCAATAGCGGCGGCACTTTACCTGGAAGGAGACCTGGAGCTTCCTCGTAGAGGTGGGTGTCAGGAGGGCTGCGCTTGTGTCGGTGAAGTGACCCAGGAAGTTACCTGAAATCACATGGGAGGTGGGGGCACCAGTGAGGTGGCTGTGGCCTCACGCAGGTGAAAGGGGCTCCCAGGTGGGTGTCTGAGGCGTGTGCCTTTCCCGAGCGTGGCTTCCTGCATTCACTTAGTGTTTCTCAGGGCAAGATCACACCTTCTCAAATCATGCTCTAATATAGCGATCATGTTGGGACATTTTACATTTTTTAAAAAATATATTTTAATTGATTTCAGAGAGGAAGGGTGAGTGAGAGAGAAACATCAATGATGAGAGAATCATGGATCAGCAGCCTCCTGCACGTCCACCCCCCACCCCCTACCCCCCGGGGATCAAGCCCGCAACCCAGGCATGTGCCCTGATGGAGAATCGACCGTGACCTGGTTCATAGGTTGACGCTCAAGCACTGAGCCACGCCGGCCGGGCAACCCTGCTTATTCAAGCAGTAGGTATAGGGTCTGGACTCGCACTTGGCAGCATGGTGGACTGTGGTGGACTGTGCTCCTGTCCGCCCCTGTCCGTGCTGCCTCCCTGCAGAGGGCTCTGCACCCCCTGGGCTGGGCCACCAACAGTGGGGCCTTCCTGACTCCTCTCTCCGCTCACAGATCCTCAAGCTCCTGAAGGGCAAGGTGGTGGTGGGCCACGCCCTGCACAACGACTTCAGGGCCCTCAAGTACGTGCACCCTCGGAGCCAGACCCGGGACACCACTTACGTCCCCAACCTCCTCAGCCAGCCCGGCCTGCACACCCGGGCCCGGGTCTCGCTTAAGGAACTGGCCCTGCAGCTGCTGCACAAGAAAATCCAGGTGTGTCTGCGTGTGGGGGGCGAGGGGCAAGCCGGCTGCGCCTGCAGCTCCCCATTATTTCTAACCAGTCCAGGCCCCGGGTCTGCATGTGCACGCAGCCCTGGGCGTCCCTGTGCAGCCCCCTTCTTCCAGGGGTACACCTCCTCCAGGCTCCTCTCTCCGGGTCTGTCCCCCCAGCTCCAGGCTCAGTGCCTGCCTTTGCAACCAGAGATGGAGCCTCGGTTAGGGTAGCTCCTAACTCCTGCTCCTACTGTCCGTCACCTCCTCATCCCCCTGCTCTTCAAGCCCAGGGCGGCTTTGATCTCGTTTATATTTGAGGGAACAGGCTAGAAGCTGGCTTTGCCATGCTGAGGCTCTGTTCTGACCGTCTCGGGCCTGTGCACAGCGCCTGGAGTGACCGTGGGCTCTCGTCCGCAGGTGGGCCAGCACGGACACTCGTCCGTGGAGGACGCCGTGACGGCCATGGAGCTGTACCGGCTGGTGGAGGTGCAGTGGGAGCAGGAGGCCAGCCGCCTCTGGACCCGCCCCGAGGACAGGGAGCCCGACAGCAGCGTGGACGTGGAGCAGTACATGCAGGACCAGTACTGGCCCGAGGACCTGGGCCCGGGCTCCAGCGGGGGGCAGGGGGAGACGCAGGACAGGAGGGCGTGAGGGAGGAGAGGCATGGGGTGGCCTCCAGTCAGGAGGGGGGCCAGGAGGGCACTGGGCACATCACCTGGCCTGAGGGGATCGTCTGTCCTGACTCCCGTCCCCACAGCACAGCCCTCTTTCCAGGCTGTAGTCACCCCTCAACCCCGTGGTTTTGCTGATGGCACTTTATAGACGCCATGAATGTCAGGTGGACCAGCTACAGGCCCCGTGGGAGCAGGGTCTGTCCCAGGCTGTCACTTCCCGTCCCCGGGAGGAGTGGGGTGCATGTCCGCTGGAGCTGGGGCTCCGGCAGTGGTGAGGGAGCCCGCCCTCCTTCAGGCACTTTGACTGATAATCACCGTGGTGGCTGGGTTTTCTCCAAATTTCACCCCCCACCCGTTTCCTTGTTCACTAAGGGGCGATTTGGGGGACTGGGGTCACTGAAAGCTCAGGTCATACAGACCTTTGAGCCCCTTCATTGCTCGTCCCTGTCACTTCGTAGCTTTGAGACCTTAGGCAGCTGTGTGGCTTCACTCTGGAGCCTAGTCCCACACCTGTCACACGGGGACAATGGTACGACCTACCTCAGGGTGGTTATGAGGATGGAATGCCCGCACGCAGCACGGTGCCCGGCACACGCAGGCCCTGGTCCACGTGAGCGGCTATTTCCCCTGAAGGATCCGTTTCAGCCTCTTCAGGGTGACGCCCCCAGTGGCAGGACTTTGGCCTCGCTTGGCTGCTCCAGCAGGTGGGGCAGGGCTCTCCGTGGTGAGGGCATCACGTGGAGGTTCAGGGTTCTCGCCGCTGTCAGGGCTGGGTGACCCGAGTGTCATCTGCGTCCCTCTGCTGTGTGCGGAGGTGACGGTGGTTGCTCATGTGGGTTTGAGCAGAGCCGCAGGGCCGGGAAGGGAGACCCACAGCCACATCACCGTGACCCGGGCTGCAGGGCGATCCGTCACCATCTCCTTTCCCGTCGGCAGCGCAGGCAGTGGCTGAGTCACAGACCCGGCTGGCCCGGCTCCAGCACTGTGTTCTGGATTCCTCAAAAGTCTAGACGCACAGCTGGGCAGTAGCTTCTGTTCCTTTGCCTGTGGGTGGAGGGAGAGGAAGCCGTTACTGGTGTTCTAGAAATGGACTGGGTTCTGAGTCAGCATGGCTGCAACACTGCTCTGGAATAAACCTCAATTGGAAAAGCGGGTGAAGTTGCCTTTTTGTGACTCCTCAAGTGGGGGGAAGGGGGCGGGGCGGCTGATGGAGGGATGGGGGGCGGTGCTGGGACACCCAGTCTTGCTGGGAGCCTTGGCCCTCACGGTGGGCGGCTTTCACGACAATGCTTTGGGAGGTGGTGGTAAGAACATATGAGAGCTATGGAATTTATACCGTATACATACCTTAAGCATTTTATAACTGTTCCATTAAAGAGCACAAGTTTTAATTATAAAATACACAACATACAATGTATTGTGAACCATCTCTTAGTGTCCAGTTCAGCAGCATTAAGTGCATTCACACTCACTTCCAGAACTGTTTCATCCCGCAGAACTGAAACTATCATTAAACTCTATAACTCCCCATTCCTCCCTCCCTCCAGCCCCTGGCAACCACCTCCTACTTTCTGTTTCTATGAATTTGACTAGATACCTCATGTGAGTAGAATCCTACAAGATTGCTTTTTGTGTGACTGGCTTATTTCACTTAGCATAATGTCCTTAAAGTAAATCCATGTTGTGTCAATTTCCTTCCTTCTGTGTGTGTGTGTGTGTGTGTGTGTGTATATTTCAGAGAGGAAAAAAGGAAGAGAGAAACATCAATGATGAGAGAATCATTGATGGGCTGCCTCCTGCACGCCCCCTACTGGGGATTGAGCCCGCAACCTGGGCATGTGCCCTGACTGGGAATTCAACCGTGACCTGGTTCACAGGTCGATGCTCAACCGCTGAGCCACTCGGCCGGGCCTCTCTGAGTTTTTATGTGATGCAGTAGGAGTTGCCCGTGTAATTTTCTTCACAAAACCATGAGCTCATCAGTGAGTTCAGAGACTGCCCGCCTTACTCACTCTGCATCCCTATCACCGCAGACAACGCCTGGTGTCGGAAGATGCTCCCGTAACAGCAATCAATGGAACGAATGAGCAAATCTATGAGTGAATGAAGGAGATAATCTATTATCGTTTCTACCTTTCCTGATGTATGAAATTCTTTTTATGTGTTATGAACTGAAGTGTATATTAGTTGCTATTAAATGCTCACATGTATTTTATTCCTAACCAGTGACAGTTCAATAAGTTTTGGTTTTTTAAAAATGAATGCACAAATTGGAACTCAAGGATAAGAATCTTGAGAAGCAAGCAAACAGGTCCAGGACGCAGTAGGCTACAATGGCCACTAGGGGGAGACAGACCCTTTCAAAGAGCAGCATGAGAGGAAAATCCACCAGCACGGAGGTTCTGCTCTCCGCACTGCCAGCAGAGCTCGCTGCCATTATATCGCTATTGCTGCTGGACTGTAACAGCCAGCTCCCAGGGACAAGCTGGGACAAGATCAAGAAAATGCCCCCACCTCCCAGCTCAGGCAGTTCACGTGTCCTTACTCCCCCCAGCTTTAAAAATTTCACATAAATGGAAGAAAAATATTTCCCCTTGGATGACAATAGAATCTATTAAAAATTCACCTGGAAAAAAAGCAAAACTGTAAGCTCAAGAATGAAAACATTAATTTTTAAAGCTGTGTGCAATTATCTTCTGCCTCCAGCAACGTTTCTGTAAAAGAACTGTTGACATATTCGATTTCATCTCCCCGAGTAAAGAAGCCTCGGGCATGTGCCAGCTAGCCGGGGAGTCCCAGCCGGGAGAGTTATGGTCCTATTGGTCCAGTTTCAAAGGCTTCGTATGCAACCGAGTGCAGTGAGAACAACAGTTCCCACAAACTCCTCTCGAAAGATCAGAATGACCCCATCCATGTTTCCAGGGCCATGATAAGCCCCAGATGTTATCACAGGCGGGAGCGTGCAAACTTTCAAAGCCCCAGTCCGCCAGTGACGCTGCTTCAGAAATAGAGTTTAGAGCGTTTGGAGGGAAGACAGTTTCCCTCTGGAACGCTGAGGCATGGCCATGCCTTACTTCCATAGACAAGCTATAGGCCCTGGCTGGTTTGTCTCAGTGGTTAGAGCATCGGCCCACGGACCAAAGGGTCTCGGGTTTGATTCTGGTCAAGGGCACATACCTGGGCTGCAGGCTCGATCCTCGGCACGGGCTGGGGTGTGTGGGTCAAGGGCATGTGTGGGAGGCAACCTATTGATGTGTGTCTCCCGCATTGATGCTTCTCTCCTCCCTCCCCTCCACGCTCTCAAAAATAAAATAAAATAAAATAAAATAAAATAAAATAAAATAAAATGAAATGAAATGAAATAAAAGAAAATAAAATAAAAAGCTATTGGCTCCACTGGTTTCCTACTTATTTCTAAGGCACAGGAAACCTCCAAAATCAAGCTCAGGAATAAAGGGACAAAGGATAGAGCCCAAAGACCAGAACAAGTCAAGAAAGCAACCCTAAGAATAAGGGGCTGATTAAAAACTAAAACCACATTAGGTGGCCTATTGGTTCCGGGAGACAGAGCTGGGGGGGAGGCGGGGAGGCTGGGAACCAGTGCTGACTTCACAGGCAGTGAAAGACCATAACTTATAAGTCTTTTTAATGAGAGCGCTTCCATAATCTAATTACACCCTAATTATAATGACGCCCCTTCTTTCTTCAAGGGGCTCATGCGTGCTTCTGGAACATTCTCCGTCAGAGTCCCCTCATTTGCGGATTTAAAGAGAGAGTTGGCGAACCTCAGCCTGAGTTAAAGTGGCAGCTCTGGCGGCTGACTTCAGCTAGGTTTGCCCTGACCAGACCGGGCCAACTCTCAGCTCCTGAAATAACAGCACCCCCCTGCCCGCCGCCGCCACACACACACACCCCCCCAGTGCAATTCTCCTGAGAGAACGCCATCCCCCCAATTATGCAGACACGTCCTCGCCCTGTGCACCCCTCCGGCCTGCGGGGTCCACGCTGCTTCTGCATCCTGACGTGCGAGCCATTAGTCACTTCCATCCCCAGCCCAGGAACTGCAACCTGCAAGGCACACGACCGGGCAGGGCTGCGGGCTCATTTGTGAAACCGCCCACAAGCCCGAGGGCGGCCAGCTCGGCCAGGGGCTCCAGGAGGCTCGCCTGCCTGCACGTCTAACGCCCGAGGCCACAGGGCACGTCACTTAGCCGCCTCATTAGGATCACAGCCACGGCCCTGCCATGGCCTCCTTCCCAGGTGCCTGGTTACCCCATTCATGTCTGTAAAGATCCATTAAGCCTTCGCGCTGAAAGGCACCGTAAAAGCCAAAATGATCACTATTATCGCCAATAAACTCCAGGGCACTCTTCCTGTCACCGGCTGAGGACAATCAGCTGCCCACGGCCCTCTAATGAGCTCCCCGAAGCCTCGGGGGGTGGCTTTGACGCTGACGGGCACGGACACCAAGAGGGAAGGAGTGCCAATGCTTTCACATGGCCAGGGGATTTCATCAGCACCTCCCGAGTCTCCTAGCACCCCCACACGTGCAGCACGGAGGGCCCCGCCCGCACCCATCCAGCCCTGTCCCAGACTCTCCCCTTCAGGGCTGAGCTGGTAGCAGCCTGCAAGGTGGCAAAAAGCAACGTGGAGACCCACAGACGGCGTGTCCGCTGCCCTGCACTGCCCTCTGGCTACATAAAGGTCTTCCCATCCTCACCCGCCTCCCCGTGGGACCCACTAGGCAAATACCCGCCATTGAAACCCCACCAGCAAACTCCATGGTAACACCCCAAACTGAAGGCAGTGCGCGAGTCTGTCCCGAGTAGACAAGGACATCTCCATAGGACATCACACCACGCCGCTGCCCGCCGCTGCCCATGGAAAGGCCCAGCTACTCATTTGCAGCATGTTTACGGGATGAAACCCCCCCTTTATTTTTTATTGATTTCAGAGAGGAAGGGAGAGGCAGCGAGAGAGAGAAACATCCATGATAAGAGAGAATCATGGATCAGCTGCCTCCTGCAAGCCCCCTACTGGGGGTGGAGCCCACAACCTGGGCATGTGCCCTGACCGGAATCGAACCGTGACCCTCTGGTTCATAGGTCGAAGCTCAACCAGTGAGCTGTGCCGGCGGGGCCAACCCCTTTTTCTTCTTCTCCCCAAGGACAAGGGCCAGCTCTTCACAGGAAACCCTGTGTGTCTTTTGAAATAATATGTTTCCAACTGATCTCCTGCTGGACAAGGAAATCCACCGTCTTCCTGGTTGCACTGATCCGATCAATTGCTTTAAGGGGTCCTTGGTCACAGGGAGATTCGGAGCCAGCTGAGCCGGGCGCTCCGCTCTTCTTGGGCAGGGGGTTGGCCGCTGTGGTTCGCTCAGGAAGGGAAGGTGGAGGGAGGATGAGATGCCAGCACCGGGCGCTGCTGCGGAGGCTGCGTCCCCCGCGGGCCTGACTCCATCCCCCGGGGGCCTGACTCCATCTGTGTAAAGGGATCTGTGCTGCTGCGGCGGTGACGTGAGGATGAGGAGATCCAAGTGCATGCTTCACGCAGACTCTGGGGCCGGGAGCCCCGCCTGTTGGAGCTGAACCTTCAACCAGATGCTGCCTCGCTGGCCCCAGGCTCCCGGGGGCTCCACCTCCCACAGCGCGCCCGCTTCTCCGGGTGGGCCAGCAGGAACTTCCTACAGACTGAGGAAAGGGGCCCTCGGGATTTTGATTCGGGGGGGGGGGGGGGCGCGGACACCCCTGCCCCACACGGAGGCCAGCCCAGCCTGGAGTCCGCCGGAATGGCCCCTTCCAGTCCTTCCTGCAGCCCAGCCCGCCCGGCGCTCTGCTCTGCCCCATGCTCCACGCAGCCCTGTCATCATCCCCCCTCCCCGTCCTGGCCCTTGTCCATCCCGCCTGCATCAGCTCAGGAAGCCACAGCACAACGCCACGGACGGACGGACAGGGGCTTAACCAGGACACTTATTGGCTCAACTCTGGAGCCTGCAAGTCCAAGATCAAGGTGTCGCAGGGCTGCCTCTCTCCTCGGCGGGCAGCCCCCTTCTCACCGGCCCTCACCTGGCCTCCCCATCTGTGTCGTCCTTATGGGACCCTTCTCACCAGTCCTACTGGATCAGGGCCCTTCATTACCCCTTTAAAGAT